GCGCTTCTCTCCCTCTAAATGCAAGTTGTTGCTTCAGGACTGGTCTGCGTCAACACCTGAACTAAGGATAGGGAGTGAAGTAGTCGAACGCGTCGACAACTTCACTTATCTTGGAAGTCTGATCAGCCCTAATGGGTTGGCGTCTGACGAAATCTCAGCACGGATTCGAAAAGCTCGTTTGGCTTTTGCCAACTTACGTCACCTTTGGCGAAGGCGAGATATCCGTCTATCAATAAAAGGACGAGTATACTGCGCGGCAGTCCGTTCTGTCTTACTTTACGGCAGCGAAACATGGCCTTTAAGAGTAGAAGACACCGGTAAACTACAAGTATTTGACCACAGATGCCTTAGAAATATTGCTGGTATCTGCTGGGATCACCGGGTAAGTAATAGTGAGGTTAGACGTAGGGTATTAGGGAATGATGGTAAATCAGTTGATGAGGTTATGAATCTTCATCGACTGAGATGGTTGGGCCACGTATTACGTATGCCTGAACACCGATTACCACGACGTGCAATGCTAACCGGTGTAGGGGATGGTTGGAAGAAAGTTAGGGGCGGCCAAACCAAAACGTGGCATCAGTGCTTGAAGTCACTAACTTCTAGTCTTAGCCATGTTGGTAGATGAAGACTACTTGGTTGGGGTCCGCGTGACTTTCGTAACCAATGGTTGGAGACTCTTGGTGACATGGCTCAGAATCGATCACAATGGCGTCGGTGTATACACTCCCTGTCTTCCCTTAAACTAAGAGATTAAATCACTTCATATCTTTCTTTCCACGAACTAATTCTTCCTTCCTATACTATATCCTTATTGCAACCTTTGACCTAACCACTCCTATGAATCCGGTGTTCATGTTGTTGTGCTAATGAGGTATGGCAACCTGGACCGATGCACATATGTGCCTGGTCCTACGTTGTAGCTGACTGACTGACTGAGTGATTGGCATCCCATCATCCTCGCAGATTGTTTCACTCACACCAGACTTCTTGCTGCCAGTGGCTCGGATGAGCTGGAAGAGCTTCCGGCAGTTACCAGATGCAGCTGCTGCTTCCAGCTCATTAGCACGCATCGACCACCAGGCTTCTCGGTCCTTACGCAAGCTTTGCCCAATTTCCTTACGTAACATCCTTCGTTTATGGTCAAACTCACGGTCACCCGGAGTAGATCGACGGGCTTCAATGAGTTGTAAGGAACCAGAAGAAACCCAGTGCTTAAAAGCGGGACGTTTCGCAAACCCACAACTGACTGTACCCGCCATTTTCATAGCGTCATGCAATTGCAACCAATGCTCATCTATACTTTTCGGTGGAGTGGTAGCTAGCCTAGAGGCTAGCTCGGTTCGATACTTACTTGCAACAGAAGTTGCAACCAGCTTGCTAATATCAATCCGTTGATGGCGGTCACTTCGTTGGCCACTGAAAAGTAAGGTAAGATTGGCACAGACCAGGGCATGATCAGAGTCCAGATAGGTACTCCAAAAGGAGCGGCAGTCTTGTACACAACCACGCCAGCGGTACCTGATCGCGATGTGATCAATCTGAGTCCAGGCTTGAGATGCAGAGGGAGGACGCCAGGTGGCACATCGGCGATGACTGTGCCGAAAGTTAGTGCTAGCCAGAAACAGGTTGTGGTCTGTGCACAGTTGCAGTAGACGGTCCCCGTTATCTGACCTGCGACCAACGAGTCCCCATCGGCCACCTAAACGACTCTTCTATGCCTAGAAGCCCGACCTGAGCATTCAAGTCTCCGGCTAGTACTACAATATCTGTCGAACGCACTTTCTGGAGAAGAACTGATAACTGGTGGTAAAACTCATCCTTGATTGCATCCGGGCTGCAATCTGTCGGGGCATAGGCGGAGATGACGAAAAGACATCGTTTCTCACGCCGATTTCTTCTCACTATCTGTTGTCCGACCTGCATAAATGTGTGAACGTTGAAGGCAGCCAGTTTGAATGGTGCACGTGGTTTCAGAAAATCTGCTTCAGTTCTCGTATTCGGTGGTAACATACAATTTTCAACCGGACAGTGACTCGAGAACGTTTAGATACAGTCGAATTTCCACCAAAGACGAGCCGCTGTATGAGTATAAAAGAGGGTGAATAATGTGGAAAATAATAATAATAATAATAATAATAATAATAATAATAATAATAATAATAATAATAACGATAACAATAATGACAATAATAGTAGTAATAATAATATTAGTATTAATAATGACAATAATTGTAATGATAATAATGTGAATCAATTGTTTGTTTTTCAAAGCGAGAAAGGTAATTTCCATAGGCATAAAGAGTTCATCAATTTGTGTGTGGGCTGTGATACTGCCCGGGTGCCCAAACCGAAGCAGGTGGTTATCTTAGGGGGCCACACCCCGAGCCTTTGACCTAAAGGTCTAACCCACAAGGCAGTGGAGCATCGTAAGGAGATGCAATCCCATGGTAGCCGGTGACCAACGATTGGTTCATACGTTGTTTACAAAGGTTTGGGAACTAGAGAGTGTACCAACGTCATGGAATGAGTCGATAGTTATCCCTATCTTTAAAAAGGGTTCACGTCGTTCCTGTAACAACTATCGGGGGATAAGTCTACTTCCGATTGCGTCCAAGCTATTGGCTTCCGTCATTCTTCGTAGGTTGTTTAAAAACCCGAGAAAGATTGACTCGCGAGGAGCAGGCTGGGTTTCGTTCTGGTCATATCTTCACCCTCCGCCAAATGTTAGAACACCGCCATACTTATCAAAGGCCAACAATCGTAGTGTTTCTTGACATCAGGGCTGCCTTCGATTCGTTGGACAGGACTGTTCTCTGGGATTGTCTATTGAAGAAGGGTGTGCCTGAGAAGTTTATTAACATCCTAAAAGCCCTATACACAAACACCTCAGGCAGAGTGAGGGCATACAACCACCTCTCTCCATTGTTCCATTCGAGCAGTGGAGTTAGGCAGGGTTGCCCAATCTCACCATTCCTCTTCAACTTTGCCATAGATGACATTCTGGAAACAGCTCTGATGAATGTAAGTAATGGTGGTGTGGATCTGTTGCCTGGAGAAAGACTTCTCGACCTTGAGTATGCGGACGATATTGTCTTACTGTGCGATAATGCCCAAGCTATGCAATCCGCACTCAATCAGTTGGCAATCAGTGTCCGTAGGTATGGTATGTGCTTTGCACCTTCGAAGTGCAAAGTACTTCTACAAGACTGGCAGGATTCTAATCTTGTACTCACCCTGGATGGTGAGCAGATAGAAGTAGTCGAGAAGTTCGTGTATCTGGGTAGCTGCATAAGTGCTGGTGGGGGTGTGAGTGATGAGATCAATGCACGAATAGTGAAAGCCAGAGCGGCTTATGCCAATCTGGGCCACCTTTGGCGCCTTCGTGATGTTAGTCTGGCTGTAAAAGGTCGGATCTACAATGCGTCGGTGAGAGCAGTTTTGCTCTATGCTTGTGAAACCTGGCCTCTCCGAGTTGAGGACGTTAGACGACTCTCTGTGTTCGATCATCGCTGTCTCCGAAGGATTGCTGACATTCAGTGGCAACACCATGTCAGTAATGCAGAGGTTCGGCATCGTGTGTTCGGGCACAGAGATGATAACTCAATTGGTGTCACCATCTTGAAACACCGACTTCGGTGGCTTGGACATGTTCTCCGAATGTCGTCCCAGAGAATTCCACGTCGTGCATTATTTGCCGACTCTGGGACTGGTTAGAAGAAGCGGAGAGGTGGTCAGTGCATGACATGGTGTCGTGGCATGAAAGAAAGCTGCAAAGGACTGGCTTCTGTCGGTCCTTCACGACTCCCTGGCTGGGGTCCGAGAGATGGTGCTACACAGTGGCTAGAGACGTTATCAGATATGGCTCAGAATAGAAGCCAGTGGTGATCCTGCTGTAACCTTCTTTTACTTTCTTCATAAAAAGTGGTTCTGTCTCCCTTACCTGAAAGATTTCTTCTGATTGTACCTTTTCGTTCCGTCGTTACTACCACACTACCTTACTCCAATCTCTTCGTCATTGTTCTCTTTTTCTTTTGCGTTCCTTAGTTTTTTTTTCTTCTTTCTACTTCTCTTCGAATTCCCATTGTTTTGTGTGGCGCATATATATTGGCGCTCTTCTGTACCAATATTCATGTGTTCAAATGATAATAATAATAATAATAATAATAATAATAATAATAATAATCTATCCTTTAATCTGCATGATATGTGGGAAGAGGGTTGTCTCGACCTATTTTAGAGTATTTAGTGCTACCGTGAGATTTATAATACATAGGTCTGATTCATGACTGGACAGCGTCGAAGGAAGAAATCTATCCCATCACTAAGCTATGATCTGATAGGTTGGAAAGCGGAGGGAGAAAACGATCGAGCTGGAAATTACCATAGCTATTCCTCATTTGACGAACCGAACTCAAAATAGGTAAATAAATAAATGACTAACGCGATCACAACTCTCGTGAGATACAATTATATCCAAACAACGGGATTAAAATATGGAAATAGAATACAAGGTGACTGAGATTACAGTAATTTTGTTATAAAAATAATATTAGAATAATTTTTACATCACATCACTACCTTTTGACGGCGAGGGTGTTGTTTACTGAATTGTTGAACACGGTGAGTCCATCTAGGGGAGTTGGAAAACCCTGATTGCAAACCAATGGTGCACATGGGTTCCAAGAACCTAAGGAAACAAATGCCGTATGAACGTATTGTTGGTGATCTCCTAGCTCCTGATGTGGCCCCATAAGAAAACTACTTGCTTCGATATGGGCACTTGAGCAGTATCCCAACCCTGACAGAAGTTAAATGATTTATGTTGCTCATATCTATTTGGTGCCTCGTTTTACCAATGTTTGTGTATTTAAATAAATAAATAGAAAAACTAAGTGATATTATTTTGTGTATTTTGAATTATTCAAGACAGTATACAAATAGCATCTTTCATTGTTTGTCTCTGCTTATTCATTCTTTTGTTCCCAATACATATATAGGTGGATGAAAAAGGTGCAGTGGCGGCTGCAGGTACAGCAATAATAACGATAAAATGCGCAGCTGTAAAACCTTACAAACCTGTACCCGAATTTCGTGTTGACCATCCATTCTTTATTTCAATTGTTTGGAATAATTGTCTACCAATATTTCTTGGACATATTACATCACCATTGAATGACTAATAATAAGAAAAGTTGATCATTTATTAGCTTACAAGAATGATCAAATTGCCTACTATTGATTTTGTTATTCATATATGACTAGTAATAATTTTAATGAGAGAATTCATTTCACTTTTATTTCTGTGATCAGGTATTTTTTTAAAAGTTTTTTTAATGTTTTGATGATTTAAAAAAAATTTTTTTATAATATGACTTTTATGTTCACATGGTTACTGATCAGTAACTAATAAAACTTTGTTCTGTTCTTCATATTCGTATTTTTAAAATAACACATATATGTTGTTAGGTAATAGTAAAGACCAGATCTATGGAATTACGTCATAGCCTATAAAGATCGACTAGCTATTCAAATGGTATGAAAATAACACAGGTATGTGCACCAGTGACAATTTTGAAACCACAGAACTCAAATAAGATTATACGGATTGATATTTTCGTGCCATTACGTGAAAACATGATGCCTGTAAACATTTTGTAAGTTGGACCTATTCTTGTGTGAATAGTCAGTTTGGCGATATTCCACAATCTCAACTCATTTTTGGTACATCAGTGATTTACATATTTTTTTGATGACAAGATTTCAGAAATTGTTGCAATGAAAATGTAGAGAACAATGTGGATTGGATGGCTGATATGAATTGTTTCACACTATAGATTTATTATTCAACATTCAGTCCATTGATGTTGTTGTCTAATGAATGAGTGAAAATGAAGCGTGAATCGAAGCGGTCATTTTAGTTTAGATATCTTATTGTCTTCAAATGAATATTGTATATTCTCACTTGTATATTTATTACGTATGTTTGACATGAAAATTATCGATGTATGAACAGCAGTTATAAATGTGTAGCTTAAATACATAGTGACAATTATGAAGTACACTTTGAATCCGATAAATCGTAACGAAACACAGCATAATTGTATTCAGTTGGCTTTTTCTGGACATCATGAGAATGATCATCCACGAAAGACTCCATCTCGACTTCTCAATCCTACCACTTCTTACCATCAGTAATGATATTCGAAAAGCAGCTGTAATGAATTGGATTTCCAATATACAGGCAATACTCTAGTACTGAACAACTTGTAATCAGTGTTCGCAAACTTGGAATTAGAATTCAGCATGTGTGAATCTGATACTTTTTCTGGTAAAAAATAATTAATTTCAAAAGATCCTATATTATATCATAAGATGTACTTTGATTGATTTCAGAGCAATTACTGTGCTTAATTATTTACGTATGTTATTCGTCGTGAAGGAGCCATAGGTCGCCCATTATGATGACTGAGGTCTCCTATTTCTGCCTGTATACACCTTATCTTCGGAACATAAATCTAATTTCGTGTTAATCATATGTAATGACCCAGCTTATCACTACTACAATACTCAGCATGTCGCAGTCATTCTTAAAGCTATTATTACAGAAAGCTTTTCTCTTTCAGACTTCCAGACGCACAAAGAACCATAGATACCTCATAAGTTTAGGTTTATCACCAATTTACATATATCATTCAATAAAATCTGTAGTAACATTCTCATGATTATTTTGAAGAACGGTTAATCCCTTTCATCTGACAGAAAATGTTATCGACAGAGTAACAATTCGTTTATTTCCCTGAGTTGGAAGAAGCGCTATCATAACGATGTCAATGTGTTTATTTGAACGCTTGGTGCAGTCTACGCATATCGCTCTCTCACTCAAATCTTGATCTCCTAAATCTTGCTTGATATATTATTTTCCTTCCATGCCAAGGCTGATAGCGACATTCCAACATTTCTTTTGTCCTCGTAAACGTCGAGCATCCCAGTATATCCAGGAATGGCCATCTTCTAATTTGGAACTGTCCAGGATACGTAAGGTTGAGTTGCCCGACTGCATAACTGCCTGAAACGAGTCCATGACTCTTACGCTGATGCCCTTGAGTCAATTTCCGGTTTTCAGCCAATGCTATGGAGTCCATTGCCTCCATATCTGCCTTCCATTTGTTAGGACAGGTCAGCACATTTGTTTGACAGGCAATCTCAGCCATGAATTTGAGTGATGTGACTGCATGGTCACTTATCCCTAGTGGTGGGAGGAAAGTCATTTGACCGACGTCATCACCTTATGTGAAGACTAAATATAAAAGAGAAGAGGGGTTTCGAATCCATATATTGTGAGATTTCTAACTTGTTGCAGTTAAGCTAAGACAATCGAGGTTTCAAACAGTTTGCAGTCGAATGACATTATCGATTACCCTACTTCTAAGTTGACTCAATTTATATACGGTGCATTAAAGTCGTCTAGTATAAAGCTTTTACCCCTATTACACCAGGACATAATTTTGCTTAGGAGGAAATCATGTACTACACATTTCGGACCGCGATATACTACAACTAATTCAATATCTTACCGTCTACATTTCAGCTTGCAACGCACCAGTTCACATGTCCCTGAAACGCGTACCACTGTCTCAACTGCTGTTATTGTTGGGGTCCTTTTGGTGTACAGAATAACCCTACCTCCCATACGGTTCAATCTATCAGCCCTACTGGATGAAATACCTGTCAACTGTGTGTCATTATCTAATACTTCTGACGTTAACCATGTTTCTGAAATAGCAATATAATCCGGTTTCTCTTTATCCATCATTGTCTTGAGTTCCGCCATTTTATTTAGTAGGCTGCTAGTGTTTGTGTAGCATACCTTTAGTTTTGTGGAGGACTTTCCGTTATCACCCAGAGTTGTGTTGGAATCGTTTTGCTTTGAAATTTCACAATCTGAAGACCCTTAAGAACGAGGTTTCTTTTCCCGTTTCGGTGGCACTCGTTTATTTCAACTTGTGCAGCTCGTCTCTTAATGCGACCAGCTATGTTGTGATCCTGACGGACGTATACTCCGGATCCAATCAGTTTACGTGAGTTACAGAGTATTAGGTTTCTTTCTTCAACCATAGCAAAGGTGATCTTCATGATGTGGCGTTTCCGAATACTTTCAGAATCCCCCTTTTGTCTTATTCTATAAAGCTTACAGACGCTAACTCCTGAAACTGTTTCTGCGAGTAGCTGGCCCAATAATTACTTGATAAGACTGAGGTCGTGCTGAAATCTAGCCTTTGGTTCCTTACTGGAAGATTCTCTTGGCTGGTGAACAATGGCTGACCTCTCAGTGAGGTCTGTCGTGACACGCTGTGAAACATTAATTCCTGAAACAGTCTCTTCCTTGCAATCCGACTTCAACTCAACGTCAAACGCAGAGGTTACGTTCTGTTTTCTTACTTTTTTTCCGAGGTGTGACTGAGAGCCTCTCATTTATCTTGCTTTGTCTCTTGATCACTTCTACACTGCTCATCCGTAGCTCCCCCAAAACCTATGTTACATTGATTTGTGGATCTGGGACTGAACCCACAGGTTCACATGCCTCAGGACTGTCAATAGGTAGTTTCTTCTACTTAGCGCGCTTCTTTTTTCTCCTTGTAACATTGCCTTCACCCATATGCTTATATACTTCCCTGATGAGGTCCATCTTTATGGTCTTATTTAAGTCTAGAGCTGGGCTCAGAATAATGCTCTCAATTTCCTCGAAAGCAGAGTTCTGTTCATCTGCTGCTGCCTGTTTATCAGACGGCGATTTCCTAGCTGTGTTTAGCATCTCGATCACCTCTGGAATCAGCAGAGATTTGATAGAACATTCTTTACACGACCAACGTGATAATGGCTTACAGCAACGTTTATATGGAGCCGGTGTGAGCCTACATGCACTTGGGGGATATAAAGATTATTAAGTACACAATAGGGGAAGCACCAGTACTCGTGGTCCGGTCTCATAGGGATCTTGGGGTGACAGTGAGCCATAATCATGAGTCCACGGCCGGTTCCCGAGAAGTCGCAGCTATGGGGTTTACAACCCTCCTGACTTTGCAGCGGACACTCACTAGTTTAAATACTACCGTGTTCACTACAATATACACAACATACTTGGAACACGTTACCCAAAGCAATGGTTTCCGCACCTTCAACTGACTCATTCAAGAGAAGACTGGACACTTGGAGAAGCATACTAGAAAAGGAATATCATAGGCCGTAGGCCTTCTGTCCTTACTACACAAATCTCAATCAGAATCTGTATCATGAATTGTAAGTGAATTGCCTGGCGGCAGAAGTTTATGATCAGAGAAGAGAACAAGAACGGAGAATGATTTGTGTGGAAACGAGAGAACAATGAATTCTGAGACGATTGATTGACAGTTTGCAAATGAGTTATTTACTGTATGGTTCTCAAATTTTACCAAGATATTCTATGATTTTGTATTCAAATGCATTTGACCGAAACAACTTGTGTTCTTGTTCACTACGGACCCACCTGTGCGACTAACCCTGTCGTCTGTCACTCAAAACTTTCGTTATTCAATGAAGGATACTAATTCGTCACAAAATTCGTCTTTATTCACCGAAACAACTGCTCAGCTGTTTGAAATATACTTTGGTAGTACTAGTAAAACTTGTTCTACGAAATATCGCCTACGTGATTGAATTCCTACAACTGTGGATGAGAATTTAGTTGAGATTAGAAGGGATTAAATGAATAAACGATCTTTGAATATACAGAAGCATTTCATATACCATGATAATAGCTTCAGTTCATAATGATAAGACATTTCTATATATGTACAACTGATCATCTCGAGTCAAATTAGTCAGGATTACCATTTTTTGACTGTCTGCTTTGAAGATGCCACAGGTATTCGGAGTTTGACAACGCTTTAACCAGTAACACCTAATACGAATCGTACCCATGAAGTGAAATCAAAAGACAGAAGCGAGGATGTTCGAAGATATATTTGATAGGCTATCAATATATTGAGGATCGTCTGATCTAATCTGGCTGGCAATTGCAGGGGTTGTTGTGCACGGCGTTCGCACTCGTGATCTGGTGCGGATGCACGACCGAGCGCTTTCAGCAAGGTAAGAACATTAAAACCAATGTGGTCAGCATCCAATGTCGAAAACCTACAGAGCTATTTATTTTGGGGATTTATTTACCGCTACAGATCACTCCCCTCCTAGTGGGGTAGTGATGACCCTAAAACGTGGCCAGCCGGAAGTTTAAACCCAACGATTTTGCCGTTGGTAGACACTCTTCTAATAGCTTGCTAGGTTTAGCAGCGTCTAGTCGTCTTTCTTTACTATAAGAGACCATGAACTACACAATACAGTAAAACAAGAAAAAGTACAATGAAAATTTCAGTTCCCCGAAAACTGTGCAAGT